GTGACAATGAAGAAATTAATAGTTGTGATGCAGTTTTGAAGTGTTTAAAAGTACTGCTATTTTTTTTGTTTTTGTATCTCTGTATAGGGATCAAAAAGAAAGTATTGTCATTTTGGTTTTGTCGGAGTATTTGTGCACAAGTCTATTTAGTTTATTCAAAAGCTGTTTCATATCTATCTTGAATATGTATATTTTTAAGTTTGTAGATCCTTATTGCAAATATTGGAAGGAAGACAGGGTATCTTTAAAGAGAATTTTTCCTTCTTCTTTTTTATGTAACATGAATATGATTTAATTTAGAATCTAGTGTGTTGTTTGAAGCCATTAAGTGTAACTAAAGTTTGTAACATTACAGATGAAAAGGTGATTGAGCCTCCTCCCCCACCAGCACCACATCCACATCGAGGAGGTTCCACTGGAAATTCATCTGTTGTAGAGAATGGAAGTTCCTCCTCAACACCGATCCAAATGCCGACCACTGCCGTATCCCCAAGCAGGGTCCTGGGCCACCTACACTCTCCTCAGTATACCCCAGGTATGATAGTAACTTTCTTGTTCAGGCTCTATCTTTCTTTTGATTTCTTTCTTTCTTTTTTAATCAGAGAAGCCACACTATGATGGAAAAAAACAGCCAAAGATTTGAGTACAGAAAAACCTTTCTGGTTTGTATGAAGTTAGACATACAGTTATGCATAAGGTTATTCATAGAATAAAAGTTGTGGAAAGTGTGTGTGTAGTTTTTGTCTGTTTTAAGGGAAATTGTAAATCTAGAATTAAAATTGAAAACAAACTGGGTTACCAATATGAGAATATGTTGTGTTTATTATGTCTGTGTAGTTGGCATTTGCTAACTTGTATATAGTTAGAGGCATTTTAAGTTCAAGATTGAGGATGGATCATGTACGTTTTGTTCCTTTGCATTTTTGTAGAGATACACAAAAAGAAACCAGCAACAGTTGATTAACAGATACTGTACAAAGCAGACCTATCCAGCTTAAGTATAATTACATTAATCAGTTAACCCATTGCCACCATGGAAAATAAATAAAAAATGGGAAAAACGTTGTGCTCATTTTTTATATTTTTGTGAAATGTCTCAATTACTAGATGGCTCTGCTAGTGCTTAGCCATAAAGGATTTCACCTTTCATTGAATTGGCGTGAAAAACATTTTTACTAGTGCTATAAATATAGATGGTGTTATTTTTATTATAAACATTATAATTACTATAATGTTATAAACATTTGTAACAGCAAAATAAGATAACATTAAATATTTTCGTAAATTGATGAAAAGGGTGAGACAGGTGGTACTCGTAATTGGCTCATTGGTGATTTAGTGTAGCCATCTATGTGTAAAAACAATTAAACAAGTAAAATCACAATGGGCATTGCATGCTGTACATGCCATACCCGTCGGCAAAGGGTTAATACCTGATTATGTTGATACTTTGCTTGGTATTGCAGTTCTCATTCTTGAGATTTTTCATCTGGTGAAATAGCAATACAACATTTCTGCAGTGTTTTAAATATGATATAGAACACTAATACAGAGGGAAAAGGAGAAATATGTTAAATATGTTATTTGTAGTGATCTACAGTTGCTAGTTAAGTATTTTATGCACATTTAAAAGTTATATTTTGTGCTTTAACAAAAATTTGTTTAGGGGAATAATTTAAGTGTCTGTTACATATGTTTACTTGTCTGATTTTCTTTTTTACATTTAAATTGGTTTATAACTCAAATTTCATCATGCTGTACAAGTGTAATAGCAACAGATTCAAAATTCATTTCATGCCAAACAAGTAAAATGAACCAGTGATCTGGATACATTCTTATAAGCATTTCATTCCACCTGGCAGAATTTTTGTTAGACAGAATTCTGTTGTAAGTTGTAAGAGGGTAGAGTTTTGAAGGATATTACAAAAGTTTGTGGAAAATGCTGTGAAAACATTATTTATATTTTAACATTTATACCTTCCCAGTCAGTCCATGTTCTAAACTTCTGAAGGCAACATGTGTTTGTATTTGTTAAAAGTAAAAATCAGAAATGAACATTTAATCTCATACTTACAATATTTTAAACATTACTAATTGTTGTAAAATGGAAACTCTAAATGTGACTCTTTATGTAGACAAATGAAAACAAGTATAGAAGGGGCTGTTTTGCATAAAGATGAGATGGTGCTTTGTTATGGTAGAACTGCCATCAGTTATAGAACATTCCATATTGTTTCTCTGTTATGACCCTCACAATTTTCTGAAAACTATCTCTTTGACCCCTAAAGAGGGTCTACAAATAATGCACCCTGTGAGCCTCTGTGCTTTGATTGGACAGTTTTCATTTCATAGAAGCCAGTATTTTAATTGTTTGTTGATAGATCAGTGTTTTGTCACCAGTCACAATTTTTTTGAGGAATTTTTCTGAGTGTGTGTTTCACAGCTGCAAAATATACACTGAGAAATTGGCTCTTGTCACCAGTGATCATTATGCAATCATTTTAGGATCCACAGAAAATATGTCAGGTACCATCCTTCTTTTAAGATGTTATGCTTGGACTACACTGAAATATCATTTTGTGCTATTCTCTCCACCACAATTTGATAGCTTTCCTCATCCAGATTTTTAACTTGTTCAACATTTTCATAATTGAGTGGTGTTCATGGCCACCAACTGTAACCTTCATTTTTGGCCTCTTCCCACCTGGACATGAAACAAGTAATCTATTTGTAAACAGTAAGGTGTTTAGTTGTATTTCCTAAAACTATTGTTGGAGAATTAGTGATGTCCTATTTGTTTCACCCAGGTTTCACAAGAACATCAGTATTGGCCCATGCCTCAAATTACTCTCAGTTCATGCTGTTTGATGAATATGACTTTAATCATTAAAACTACTCAATTAAGTTTCAGTACAAAATTTTATGATCAAATGTTTCATTTGATATCACAATAGCTGTGTAAGTTTAATGCATCTTCATCTTAGAATGATTTTCTGTAAACTTTTTGAATGCCCCTCATATTGATGTAAAGACACATGTTCAGTTGATTAATAGTACTTGAAAATCTTTGATGATAATTGTACTCATATGTATGATAACCAACATATGTTTTAAAGATGATTCTCTTAATATCCTGGCTTCATGCAAATGTAATATACAAAAGTGCAAAAGGCAAGAGACATTGAGCATCACCTCAGTGGGTAATGACTTGAGAATTAAAAGCCCTAATGGCTGTCAGGAAATAGTAATAATGGTTTTAGTTGCACAGTATGTCAGTGCTGCATTAGGAGTAGTCAGAAACAAAATTCTTTCTTAAAGTTCCAAGTAATGTATTTAATATAAGTTTTCTAATAGGAACATTAGCTAAACTTTATTCATATCATGGCAACAAGGGGATAAACCCTTACTGCTATAAATGTTGCCATGACATGCATAAAAGTTATTTGTGTAACATATTTTTCATAATGAACTGAACATTTCAAAGATTAACAATTTACAAATTAGATACAACTATTTTAGGAAGATTTATAATGAGGATTAGTTGTTTAAGATGGTGTCTCAGTGCATTTTAGAAGTTGAAAGTTATTCCATGTTTTTCTATATTAGTTGAGTTTATTAACCTTGGATATATATTATTAATTTGTTTCAAAGTTGAGTAGTTACTTTTTTGTAAAAATGCTTCACCTTAGTTAAAAAAAGAGAGCTTAGGTTTGTATATTTTTATATTCAATTTTATTTTATAAATGAACTAGATAGGAACTGAAGAGAATTTGAATCACAATCAGTAACTAGAAAGCTATGTCACATCTAATTTGATTTTCTAATAGGAGAATCACATAAACTGCTGAAAATGTAATGTGAGATGAAACATCTGAAAAATTATTATGCAGTTAATGAGTTAATGAAGTATTAGCAAGAGTTGTGATCAAGTGAAGCTGATGACTACATGTGCATAGTTAAAAATAGGAAGTCAATTGAGGATGTTTATGACTTAATGTGCTTACTGAGATGCAGGCCTCAGGGGCAACAGTTATATTATACTATTTGTTGAAATGTTCAGAGTCCCTTTAAGGCTTCCTAGCAGTTCTGTTGTAATCTCATCAAACCTAGTACTAAAAGAAACTGTATAATCCTCCAATAAATTTCACTCTGTCATAATAAGAAATTGGTGCTGCAATTGTTAATAAAATCAAATTTTGTATGACCTTTGCAAACTGACAGTATCATCATGGAACAAAGGAAGTATGAACACTTATACTACATTGATGTTGCTTTATGGTCCAGTGGATGTTGTGCTGACCCATTATCATACTTGTGTTTATATTTCCTTAATCTAACTTCTGGTAAATCTGTCTATTCTTCTAATATAGTTGCCTTCATACTTTATGTTAAAAATTACTATATAGATGGAAAAACTCACAGTGATAAACCACGAATTAATTAATTAATTAGTACTCCTTTTCTGAAAAAAATTCCAAATTATTATTCTTATTTTGTATAAAGATTATGAAGAACTGTTATATACTTGTGCAATCAGATGACATCAAGGTTGGAATGATATAAAGCACATTATTTTGGATATTCTTTCAAGTTTCAGGTCCAAGTGCTGGTCCCCACCTCTTAAGTGCCATGGGGTCACTGACTAGTCCTGTACAGCACCAGGTTACACCACATATGGTACCAGGTCACCCAGCTGCCCATGATATTCTTCATAATCCAGGTAATTAAACAGAGTTCTTCAGTCCGTTTTATTATGGGTACTAAAATTTTTGTTTGTCTATTCTTGAAAATAGACTTTTTAAATTTGATTGTTTTGGCTAATAATTTTGTTTGTTTGTTCTTCAAAAGGGGGAGGCGTTGGACAGAGTCGAGAAAGTGTGGAGGCAGCAATAGCAGATATCAAACAAGCTATAAGAAGAACTAAAAATATGACTCTTAAGTCCCATCCTCAAGAACGGTCACCCATCAATGACAAAGGGCCAGTGTGGATACCTAGGTGA